TATTGTGAATATTATCTTAATTATGGTAATATTGTATTTTAGGGAGTAAATATTGTTTTTTAGGAAGGTAGATTATTGGCCTAATATTGGATGATTAGCTTGTATATTAACGATGGAACAATAATGAGAAAGGGCAGAAAATTGGCTTCACAAAATCAATCCTTTTGCTTTGTTATTTGTTAGGTACATTTATTGGTCGATGTTAGGACATGATATTGATTGTCTGGATGAGGGCTATCGACCATTGGTGGTGCGTGACAATGGGCGTTGCCGGAGGTGGATTTTCCGGTAGAAAGGGGTGTGCTAGATTGGTGTTTTTGGGCTGGATTTTCTGCTGCTTCCTTTGATTTGCGGCTGGTGGTTGGTTGGAGATTGTAGAGGGAAATGAGGCGAGGCTCATGGTGGTTGGATCCGGTGGTTTTGGCTGCTGGAAAGTTGTGATTTGTGGCTCCAAAGTGGAAACTGAGCTTAGTGCTGGCACCGTACCCTAATCCCCAGTCGTCGGTCGCCATCCATGGGCGATGGCGAGCCATCACCTTCCCTCCGCTCCTCTCCCGCATCCCAAGTTGCCGGACGCCATCACCATGGGCGACGGCAAAGCCCATTCATCCTAGCCCTCCTTCACACCTCTCCCTCATCTGAAGCCGTCGATCACCTCCTTGGGCAATGGCAAGACCTCCTGACCCCAACCCTCCTCCTCACCTGGCCTCACGCCACCCTATTCAGCCATGGCACCCTATGAAAGACCCCAAGCCGTGGACATTCAAAGTGAAGGCAGCCCTCATTCTGATCACTACCTCACTTCAGATATAACTGAGCTTAGTGTCGGAAACTGGTTAATATTTGGAATCAAGGGCAGATTTTGAGAAATTGAAATTAGATGAAATTTACACTTGAGGTCCTCAGAATTCAATTCATGTGTTTTTGGTCCTTCAGTGACCGTTAGTGTTAGTTTAGGTAAGTTCAGTGACCGCTTCTGCAAATTTTGAACTTTAGTGACCGTTTTGTGATTTTAATGTAAGTTCAGTGACCGTTTGTGAAATTAACCCATCACAATATATGTAAGTCTTCTTTTTGCAAACAAATATATAAATAGTTTATAAACTCAATCAAAGTTAAACATTAATTTCAACTATACATATAAAGTTTCTCATCAAAGTACATTGTTTTAACTTTGAAATAATAATAACAAAAAAGGGACGAATTTGATCAAACAGAAAAAGTGTAATCCATTAAAAAAATTTAAAGTTAAAAGCTCAAAATAACAAAAAACTAAACGAGGCTCATAAAATAAAAACTGTAAACTAATATGAGATGTCAATTTATCTGACTTAACTACTAATTACTATCAACTAAATGTAATTATGCTGTCATCAACTGCAGCCTTAAACCTTGTATGTATCCTAAACGCCATTCTTCACGTTTATTTGGCAAAATAATAAGCTGAAGGACAAAATATTAAAATTATAATTTTCAAAATTTCGAGTTTTATCGTCCAAGTATTTGAGAAAATTTACTATTAGTTGTCGCCGATAATTTGAGTAGAACAATGATTTCTTTAATTTTTATCAAAAATT